TAAGATAAGCCTATTGTGAGTCACCTTATAAACAGTGCTGACACATGCTTTCAGTTCCTACAACTCAGTGCCAGCATTTGTATTCTGTTAACGACTTCCTCGACACCAGGCTATCCCACTTTCATTGTCCTGGCCTAATAAGGAAAGAACACAAACACACTTCATCAGTGAGGGATGTTCCAGATCCTCACCTAGGAAGGCCAATTACAGCACAGGAAAGTTTTGCAGTTCTTCAAACAGGGAAACTTTGGCGGGCGAATCAAGCGAGCACTTGGAACAGGGCAGAGGGGTATCCCAAGTCTTGCCAGAGAAGCCTCACAGCCACCCAAGGGCAGGGCTTTAGTTCCAGCAAAATAAAACCTCTTGGTTTCATTGCCTATATGTGGTACATGCAAAAGGTATGTACACTAGTTTCGTGTTTGCATGTAAGGAATGTGATAAAGTAATTTAAGTCACACTCTTGGAATATTTTCTCCTTTAAGAAGGATGTATGTATTATTCAAGTTTGAGAAACCCTAAACTAGAGGATTTCCGTAGGTCCTTTGCAGCTCCACCATGCACTCTATAGCTCTGGTTTAAACAAATACCGTATTCTGAAATCTCATCAGTCCTTCCCTTCCTGCCCCACTACGCTGAGGACAAAATCCCAGATCTGAACATGCCCTTCCATGCCCTGCAGCATCTGTCCAGGACTCCCTCATTCCGTATCCAGGCTGTCTCTGGGTTACTGCATGCCCCGCCCTCCGGCCCGCCATCACTGCTTGCTGCCCCTCACTTAGCCAACGCCTTCTGAGCCTTCAGGTCTCCACGAAATCACTTCTTCAGAGACTCCTTCCCACGCACCACCAGACGAGAGCAGCCTCCTCGTTATAACATCCACCACATCCTGTACTGTCCTTCACAGGAATGTCACAGTCTGAATATAATTGTTAGTGTGATTATTATTTAATCACGCCTATCTGACTCCAAGAAGGCAGGGGCTAGGACGGCCCTGTCCTCTACTGGACATACTGTGCCCGGCACATAGTAAGTACTCAGTCAGTACCCACCAACAGTGGTCCTTATCCACTCAGCCTCTAAGAACCCACCCAGTCAGCTGCCCTCTCAGCTCCTGGAACAGAGGACCAGCAGAGAAAGCTCTACCCAGGACCAGAGAGTTCCTGTCAAAGTCCACGACCAGCACAGGGGCTGAACAGGGCCCAGGTGAACTCTATAGTACCTGCTCCGTACTTTGGATGAGTTACTTTACCTCTCTGAGACTCAGTGTCGCCGTCTGTAAGATGGGGAGATAGGACCCACCTGTAGCAAGCTGAATAATGGCCCCCAAACATGTCCACATCCTCATCCCTAGAACCTGAGAATATATTACCTTATATGGCAACAAGGACTCTGCAGATGGGACTAAATTACGGATTTGAAGATGGGGCGATTATCCCGGATTGTCTGGGTGGCCCCAATACAATCACAGGGTCCTTATCAGAGGGAGATAGCAGTAGTCAGAGAAGGCCACGGGACAACAGAAGCAGCAGCTGGAATGATGTGCATTAAAGACGGAGGAAGGGCCTCTAGAAGCGGGACAAGGCGGTGGGGAAATAAACTCTCTCCCAGCCTCCCACAGGCACGTGGCCCTGCCAACACCCTGATTTCAGAACTTCTGACCTCCAGAACTGTAAGAAAATAAATCTGTGCTGTGTTAAACCACCACACTAGTCCCCCCTCACCCATGGTTTTGCTTTTCGTGGTTTCACTTACCCGCAGTGGTGGTCCAAAAATAGTAAATGGAAAATTCCAGAAACGAACAACTCATAAGTTTTAAATTGCACACCATTCTGAGCAGTGTGATGAAATCTCGCTCTGTCCCGCTCCTTCCCGTCTGGGACGTGAATCATCCCCTGTGAGTGAATCACCCCTTTGTCCGGCGTATTCACACTGTAGACGCTACCCGCCCCTTAGTCACTCAGTGGCCGTCTCAGTTATCAGAGCCACTGTCGGGCATCGCATTGCTTGTGTTTAAGTCACCCTTATTTTACTTAATAATGGCCTCAAAGTGCAAGAGTAGTGATGCCAGCAATTTGGATATGCCAAAAAGAAGCCATCAAGTGCTTTAAGTGAAAAGGTGAAAGTTCTCAACCTAATAAGGAAAGAAAAGAATCATATGCTGAGGTTGCTAAGATCTACAGTAACTTTTATTACAGGACACTGTTATTATTGTTCTATTTGATTGTTACTTATTGTTGTTAATCTCTTACTGTGCCTAACTTATAAATGAAACTTTATCATAGGAACATATGTCCTGGAAAAAACAGTATGTATGGGGTTGGGTACTATCTGTGGTTTCAGGCATCCACTGGAGGTCTTCGAACGTATCCCCCACAAAAAAGGGGGACTACTGCACATTTGTGGCAATTTATTACAATGGCAATAGGACCCTAATACACAGCCTCATAGGTTTTTTGTGAGGATTCAATTTGTTGACATGGAAACACTTAAGAGCACCTGGCATACAGTAAGTGCCCACAAAGTGTTGGCTGCTATGATTTTCTATCTGCCGAACTCCTCACACGGTAGCCAAAGCGATCTTTCTAAAGCACACATCTCATCACAAAATCCCTACTGAAAAGCTTTCAGGGCTCCACATAGCACACAAAGGAAACACCCTCAGCCCATTCCCACCTCATACTGCTCCCCTACGACCACCACTTACTGTGATCATCCAGCACTACAGCGTGTCTATTTACTGTTTGACCTCCGCCACGACAACATGAGCTCTCTAGGGCGACCGCGCTCCTACTGACCTCTGCAGCCTCAGCCTCAGAATAGGGCCTGGAACACAGCGGGCCCTTGATACACAGTCGTCTAACACAGGAAGGAGTTCCGCCCTGCATCAGGCTGAGCACACTCGGTCCGCACTCTCCTCAGATCCTTCAGGACTGGACTCCCCACCCCCTCAGACATCACCCTGACCGCCCACTGATCGGACAGCATCAGTCCTCTGCTTAAAACCCTCCAACTGCTCCCTGAACTCTTTAGGATCAAGACCAGCCCTCGAGGCCTCCTGGCTCCCTCTGCTCCTCTGTCCTCCACTCTAACTACTCTAAAAGTCTCTTGGTGCCTGGACAGTCAGGCCTCCCTGCTTCCGGGCCCTTACAGATGCTGCCACCTCTGCCTGAAATACCCTCCCTCACCCTCTTCACCCGGCTGACACTTCATCCCTCGGGTCTCTGCTTGAAGCTCCCTGAAGGTATAAATTCCTGTTTATCTCGTGTCCTACAGTATCCCCGGGGCCGAGTCATACAAGGCGTCTGCTGAATAAACAGGAAGTTGTCATCAGACCACACACGCTTCCTGGCACTTGGCTCACTGACCCTGAATCCTGGCTTAGCCCAGACCTGGGGGTTTCGCCTTAGTGCTCTCAGCCTTGATCCCTGTTCGTCTTCCTGATCTGCACCTCTGCCAGCCCCAAGGTGAGTAGTCATGACTTGACCCATCGTGCCCGGCTACTTCGACCCCAGTCCCCAGAATGCCCAGCACTTACTTTAGCTGTCCCAAATCAGGACCTGGCACTTCTGCCAGTGGAAATGGGAAAAAGCATTGTGGTGGACCACTGTTAAACAAATAAGGTGACGGAAGTTATAGGGTTATCCCTCTGGCAAGACAGTGTAGTGTTCACACACACACACTGGTGACATTCCCCTCACCGGAACCTTGTCAAAATGTATATGGAACTGTAAAAAACATTTGATATTTCTTAAGCAAGACATTAAAACAAACGAAATAAAACGGTACGGAAACCAGGCACTGGGAGTTCTTGCAGAGCCTCCTTTTCAATACACTCAGCTTCCTACCAGCTAACCAGTGTTCTCCAAACTGTGGGTCTGAACCATATATTAGTAGGTGATGAAATAGTGTTTCACACCCTGTGCAATTTTTTTTTAAAGGAAGATTAGCCCTGAGCTAACATCTGCCACAAATCCTTCTCTTTTTGCTGAGGAAGACTGGCCCTGAGCTAACATCCGTGCCCATCTTCCTCTACTTTATATGTGGGACGCCTGCCACAGCATGGCTTGACAAGCAGTGCATAGGTCCCAAGCCGGGATCCAAACTGGCGAACGGGGGCACCAAAGTGGAGCATATGAACTAAACCGCTGACCACCAAGCAGCCCCCACCCTGTGCAGTTTTTTAAATAAAAATAAAACAAGAGAAAATGCTAAAGTACAACAGACATTTTCACACAAGTTTTCTTTCAACTTATACATACATATGAGTGTTCTGGGTCATAGTGGAAAAAATATTTCTTACTATGGGCTATGGTCAAAAATTTTGAAAACTCCTGAGTTGGCTAATCTTTACTTTCTGATTTTTCCTTCCTATACCAAAGAATTTTCTATGGTAGTCTTGCCCTCTAAGTTGCTCCTTACTTTATTTACAGCCACTGGAACTCTAGGCACTGCGATGCTGAGAGTGATCCAGAATAAACCAGATGGCCAGGGCCAGAGGTCTCCTGGCAGCTGTACAATACATGGCGCCAGCTCTGGAAGTAGGTGACCAAGTTGGCTCCACAGCCCTGGCCAGGTTTTGGGCTCCTGCCCCTCTAACCTGAGCGTGCCAAGCTCCAGGGGACCTAGGCACTACCAACCCACACCTGTGCTTCTCAAGGGGGCACAGGCCACCCCACGGCGGCAGAAACCCTTCAGCAGTGGGCGGGGCTGGCTTGGGCACACCTGTAACCCCAGTTCTCACACTTCTGTTTACATTCTTTCTTCCCCCATCTCGGGCCCCCTGGGCCGGCCTTGATGGAGAAGGCAGCCTCCGCAGGCTCCCAGGGTCAGAGCGGCGGGGTCCTGAGCAGGCACCAGCAAGCTGGCAGCAGGAAGCGGGGCGGGGCTGGGCACTCTCAGCTAGGGCCGGCGGGAGCGGGTGGGGCAGGGGTGCCGGGCTCTGGTCCTGACTCGGCCACCACGTGCGCGCTCAGACACCTCGCGCACACTACCGCTCTTACCCGAAAGTCGTGGGCAGTGTCCTTCACGGGCTGGACGCGGTGGCCCTGGTGCCGGGGGTCGGCCTGGCACGAGCAGCACAGCAGCTCCTTGTCGTCGAGGCAGAAGAGGCTGAACTGGCCACGGTGCGGTCGGCAAAGGCGCAGGGAGCGGTGGCCGGTCCAGCGCGCGCCCTCGGCCTCCTCGCGCAGCAGCTTCTCCACCAGGTTGTTGAGGGTGTGGTTGGTGCGCAGGTCGCCGGGGTCCGCGCGGTCCTTGCACACAGGACAGGTGGCCGCCACCTGCACCTCCCAGCAGCGGGTCACGCAGCCGCGGCAGAAGTTGTGGCCGCAGCGCAGACTCACGGCGTCGCGGAACGGGTCGTAGCAGACGACACAGAGCAGCTCCTCCTTGAACGAGTGGGAAGGCCCGGGGGCTACCGCGGGGCTCGGTTCCATGGCCCCGGCAGCCGGCTCCCGCGCCCGCAACTTTCGCCCCGCCCCTCCCCGCCCCGCCCCTCCCCTCCCCTCCCACCCACCTGGGGGCTCCTGGAGGCCGCGGGCAGTGGCGCCCGGCCCCTTCCCCTCGGAGCGCTGAGCGACAGCGGCGCCGGCCAATCGCGCGGGGTGAGCTCGTGAGGCTCCGCCCCAGTTCCGGTCGGCGCGGGAAATCCCGGAAGAGGAGGGCGGGCCCCTGTAGTCGTGGTCTCCGCCGGTCCGCGGCGGGCTGGCCCAGTTTAGCGAGGAAGGAACTCCCCAGCTGTGCGTAGGGTTTCCGTGTCACTGGACACCTGCTTCCGATTTGATAGGCGAAATGAAGTCTAGGAGCCCCTTCCTTAACTAGTCCCCGAAAGTCAGCCCCGCGAGGTGGAGGAGAGCTGTCCGCTTGCTGGTTCCGAAGTAGAGGCGGGTCCCCCAACGCCGTTAGTGTCTCACCGCTTAGGGTTATAGTGCCCTGCAAAGATCTACCCCCGTCTTGCGTTAGTTGTGTGCTTACTTTGGCCAGTCCTAGTCCTGCCCCTGGGGTAAGGAGGAAACAGGTGGGGGAAGGGAGTAGTAGGAAGACCTGTGAGAAGACCCGATTCGTGTCCCGTGCTTGAGTAAGTAGGCAAGTCACGATCTTTCCAAATCTGTTTCCTTGTGAGTCAAGTGGCGATAGTATCATTGTCTCCATGAGATGTGAGAATTGAAGTGAAATAAGTATGGAAAGTGCTCATGACGTGAGGCGGGTCCTCATTAAAACAGAGAGACTAAGGACTTGTGCAAAGTTGGCTATAGGAACAGAATCCAGGCTGGATTCCTGCCAGCCCTGAACCTCCCCGGCTCCCCATTCCTGCCTCAGTTTGAGCACTTTGTGGCCTTTAAATGTAGGATTCCTTTCCCCTGACACACTTCCGTTCCTGGTTTCTGTTGGAATACGCTTCTATACGTGAGCCGAGACACTGACTGCCCTTTTTGGACTATCTTTTCAAGGATGTTTCTATGGTAAATAGCCTTGGAAGGCAGAAATAATGTCTTCATCCAGGCAAAGGTCTGGCCGATTTAATCTCCATTATAAAAGATTTAGGTTCCCTAAGCTCTGAGTTGCTCTCTTGCAGTGCAACCTACTCTGCTGTAATCGCTTAGGCTTATGGGAATTGGGGCTCAGGAAACTGGCCCAAGTGATGATTCTCTGACTACTGTTATCACTGTTGGTAATAAACTGTCCTTTGTCTCTGACCCAGAAGTCTCATCTACCAGCATTCATGAAACTGTGGCAAAGCTAACTTGTTAGTTTGCAAGTAGGCTAAACTCTCAGACCCTTTATAGTTCTTGACAATTTCCTTCCAAACTTTTCCTCAGAATAGTCGGTTCCCCACATTGCCCAGGGGATGAATATCACTAATTCTTACTGCCTCTGCAGTGTTTCTTATACATGATTCACGGTCCTCCTGCAGTCATCTGGGATGCTTTCTAAAAGTACATTTCCTGGGCCAACTTCCATCTGTTCCTCTTTCTTGCAGAAAGACCCAGGAATCTGCATTTTCACCCGCTCTTCAGGTGATTCTCAGGCACACTAAAGTTTGAGACTCACTGTTCCAGATCCATGCACTCAACAAGTACTCAGGTCCCGAGTGATGGACTGGTTGAAAAATTAAGCTGAGAGGCAATCTCTGAAAAGGCCACAAGATGGAGCTAACAATCCCCCAGTCCAGGCACCTCCTTGGAAAATCTTGTCTCTTCCAGTCTCATTTTCTTTCACTGTATTCTCTTATGTATGTGTCCCAGTTGCTCTGTGAATCTATCTGTTTTGCCATCTATGTGTTTCATTCTGTTCTCATAAGATTTTCCTTGTTTTGTTGTTGTTGCTTTTCTCAGACTAAGTAGGGCTACAAATCAAAACAAGGATGAAAAGTAGAAATTAAATGTATCTTTTTTTTCTTTAAGTAGAATACAAAGGTTAACATTAAACCAGTAAGTTTCTCCAGTCTTTCTGGAAATCCGGGAAGGAGTTGGCTTTATTCTACGCTCCATTACTAGCCAGGGGCATGACCTGGGGCATATTATTACACTTTTCTCACTTTCTTTTCCTCAACTATAAAAGGAAAGATTGAACTAAATGCTCCAAGTTCTTACCAGCTCACTCTGAACTTTTTTCATTCTTTGCATAATTTCGGTAAAGAGGGTGACTAAGACTTACCCAGAGACCAGACTGGGAAAGAGAAATCTTGGTGACTATAACTAATCTGTCACCAACTTCTGTTTCTTCTTTCAGTAGAAAGGGCCTTCTTCAGAGGACCCTGAAGTTAGGTCCTCTGTATAAACTATAGCAGAAGTCCACTGGTAGTTCTCACTATCTCTAACTTGCCCCATCCCATACCCTAGGCATCCTTGCCGGGTACTGCCACATTTCCACACACCCCTGCTATCACCATGTAAATTTATGTAAGGAACGACGGACTTGTGTGTGTGTGTGTGTGTGTGTGTGTGTGAGGAAGATTAGCCCTGAGCTAACAAGCATTGCCAATCTTCCTCTTTTTGCTTGAGGAAGATTGTCCCTGAGCTAACATCTGTGCCAATCTTCTTCATTTTATGTGGGACATCACCATAGCATGGCTTGACAGGTGGTGCCAGGTCCACGCCTGGGATCCGAACCCACAAAGCCAGGGCTGTTGAAGTGGAGCATGTGAACTTAACCACTATGCAAACGGGCCAGTCCCCAGACAACTATTTTTTAAATGTTATGTTAGGGGAAAAAATTTTCTGGGTGCAGAAAGAAGAACAGCCCCTTTCCCTTCCCCTTCTCCTTCTTTTTAAAGCAGTTGACCAGAAAGTGGCTAGTGCAAATAAAAGGCAGAGACTGTTAGATTCGATAAGAAAGCAAGAGCCAACTATATTCCTAAAAGGAACCTACTTTAAATATAAGCATACAAATAAGTTAAACATAAAAGGACAGAAAAAGGTATACCATGCTAACACAAATCAAAGAAGGCTGGAGTGGCTATGTTAATATCAGACAAGGCAGATTTCATATGAAAGAATATTAGAGGGATAAGGAGGATGGCTGCTGAATGCAATACTCGTAGAGCCGGCAGTAGCAAGAACCGTTTCCAATAGGAACTAGGCAACCAGGGATGCAGGCATAGAGTTTGTTCAGCAGAGTTACCAAGGAAATCTTTGAGGAAATCGCTGTAGTCTGATGCTTGATGAGGGACTCAGTGATGGCTTGGGCCTTCTTGGAGGCCCAAACAATTGAAAAGAGGAGAGTAGGGGCTCTGAGTTGGTTTGAATAATGCAGGGAGAGCTTCCATAAGAAATGCTGCTAATGCAAGTGACTAGAGAAAGGCTCAGGTAGTAAATTGCCAGCCTTTGGGTTAGATTTGGCTGCAGACCTCTTTTATTTTGATCCAGAGGCTTGTTTTTCCCCCTCTGTATCATTTATGATCTTCTAAGCTGCCACTTTTAAAATGCAGCTCAAAATGATTCAACAATAAGGGGATGGATTATCTCACATAACAGAAAGTTTGGAGGCAAGAAGTCTATGTCTGATCCAACGACATTAAGACCCCAGGTTCCTTCCATCTTCTGGCCTGCCTGTGGCTGCATCTCGGTTGGAAAATTACTGCAGCAGCACCGGACATCTTATCCTGATATGAACCAACGTCCAGAAATGGAATGGGGCCATTTCTCCCCAGTATGTCTCATTTTTAGAGCCAAGAAACCTTTCCAAAAACCCTCCAAAAGACTTCCGCTCACACCTTAGTGGCCAGAACTGGGTCACATGCCCACTTCTAAATTCAACACTGGCCAGGGGAGTAAGACCACTGTGACTGACTTAAACCAATGAGGATGTTCCCGAGTCACGTGGTGGAGGGATGGTCACTGAGAGGCATTTGGGGCTCGGCTATTTATTATGGAAGAGGGAGACTCGCCATTAGATGGGCAACTACAAGTTCAAGACAGTGGCCAAGAATTGCAAATTGGGAGATTTCACATGAAAAATCAGATTTCTACTTTGCTTTTTTTCTTTCATTAAAAAATTTTTAAATTGTGCTAAATAAACATAAAATTTACCATCCTAAGCATTTTTAAGTGTGCAGTTCGGGAGTGTTAACTGTATTCCCATTGTTGTGCAACTAGGCTGCAGAACTTTTCAATGTGCAAAACTGAAACTCTGTATCCATTTAAAACATGCCCTTCCTCTCCTCCTCCCAGCCCCTGGCAACCACAATTCTACCTTCTGTCTCTATGAATTTGACTACTCTAGATACCTTATGTAAGTGGAATCAAACACTATTTGTCTTTTTGTGACTGGCTTATGTCACTTAGCGTAATGTCCTCAAAGTTCATCCATGTTGTAGCATGTGTTGGAGATTCCTTCTTCTCTCTAAAGCTCAATAATATTCCATTGTAGGTAGATACCACATTTTGTTTATCCATTCATCTGTCAATGGGCACTGGGGTGGCTCCCACCTCTTGGCTGTTGTGAACAATGCTGCTATGAACATGGGCATACAAATATCTCTTTGGGACCCTGCTTTCAGTTCTTTTGGATATATACCCAAAAGTGGAATCTCTTGCTCATGTGGTAATTCTATTTTTTACTTTTTGAGGAACAACCATGCTGTTTTGTATAGTAGCTGCACCATTTTACATTCCCATCAACAATGCACAAGGGTTCCAATTTCTCTACATCCTGGCCACCGCTTGTTTTTCTTATAGTAGGCATCTTAATGGGTGTAAGGTGATATCTTTTTGTGGTTTTGATTTGAATTCCCAAACAATTAGTGATGTTGAACATTTATTCATATGCTTGTTGGCCATTTGGATATTATCTTTGGAAAAATGTCTATTCAAGTCCTTTGTCCATTTTTTAATCAGGTTATTTTTTGTCATTGTTGTTGAGTTGTACAAGTTCTTTACATATTCTGGATATTAGCCCCTTATCAGATATATGATTTGTAAATATTTTCTCCCTTTCTGTAAGTTGCCTCTTCGCTTTGTTGATTTCGGTGCACAGAAAT